CACCCCGAGTATGTGTGTGTGTGTGTGTATGGAAAATTGGTATAATACTTATTTTAACAACATATCATGAACATTTTCCCCTTATTTAATATCTTCCAAAACATATCTTTTAATGGCAGCCTAGTATTCCATTGCATGGCTATGCCATAATTTAATCAATTTATTTTTGGACTTTCAGGTAATAAGTTCTTTCCTATTATATGGAATGTCATAAGAATAACTTGCAGTCTAAGTCTTTGTGCACAGCTCTGATTATTTTCCTGTGAAAAATTAACAAAAGTGGAATTACCAGTTAAATATCTATTTATCTTCATCTTCCTAACATGCACTGCCACGTTGTCCTTCACGAAAATTGTACTTAGCTCCCACCAGCAGCCTATGAGGGTGTCTGATAAAAACCATTTTATACGAAAATCTTTGTTGGATGAAAATTATCCAGTATTGATGATAGTCAGGGCAGGGGCATGCTCAGAGCGCTGAGGGTTAGAAGGCCGCCCCAAGATGAATCCACGAGAACCAGCCTCCTCAGGTCAGTGCTCCTGGGTGCAAATTCCCGCTCCGTGCCAGGCGCTGAAGGCGACACCGCCACAGTGTAGTACGACACTACACGCGCCTACCCACAAGCTCACTCGGAGTTTGCAAACCCACCCCAAAGCAGGCCCAAAGACAGTTCGGCCTAAGACAGTGGGGCAGGACCCTTTCCACTCCCTCTCGGGCTCAACTTCTTCCCTGTCAAATACAATCCCTGTCCTGTCAGCCTCTCTGGGCTGTCCTGGGACTCCAAGGAGACAAAAAGGAGGGAGCGTAGTGCCTTCGCACAGAATCATTACTAAAAATAAAGAGTACGAGGGGTGGGAGAGAGAGGCAGACCCGCCCTTTGAGACAGGAGGCCCCAGACGGAGACTCTCAGAGGGCGCCCGAGCTGCGCGACCGGAGGCGGCTCCAGAGGCGGCTCCAGAGGCGGCTCCAGAGGCGGCTCCAGAGGCGGCCGGGGAGGCGGCTGCGGCGTTCCCGCCCGCCATAGACCCCTCCCCCGGCGGGCCCCTCCCCCGGCGGGCCCCTCCCCCGTACCGCCCCTCCCAACCACAGACTCCTTCCCGCGCCGACTCCACCGCCCAGTCTCCAATTCCTCCCTCGGCGGGCCCCTCCCCCGAGGGCCCCCTCCCCCGGCGGCCCCTCCCCTGGCGGACTCCCTCCCCCCGGGGCCCCCTCGCCCACCACAGACCCCCCCTCTCCCGACGGGCCCTTCCCTCCCCCCCACAGATCCCTCCCCCGCGGCGGGCCCCTCCCAACCACAGACTCCTTCCCGCGGCGGCCCC